AGCACTGCTTCTATTTCTTCTACTACTACTACTACTACGACCACCACCACTACTACTACTACTACTACTACTACTACTACTACTACTACTACTACTACTACTACTACTGACTACTACTACTACGACTACTACTACTACTACTACTACTACTACTACTACTACTACTACTACTACTACTGCTACGACTACTACGACTACTACTACTAGTACTGCTAGTACTACTGCTGCGACTACTACACTACTACTACTACTACTACTACTACTACTACTACTACTACTACTACTACTACTACTACTACTACTACTACTACTACTACTACTACTACTACTACTACTACTACTACTACTACTACTACTACTACTACTACTACTACTACTACTACTACTACTACTACTACTACTACTACTACTACTACTACTACTACTACTACTACTACTACTACTACTACTACTGCTGCTGCTGCTGCTGCTGCTGCTGCTGCTGCTGCTGCTGCTGCTGCTGCTGCTGCTGCTGCTACGACTACTACTACCACAACTCGACGACGACGACGATCGAGCCGCCCTCAATCGCCGACCAGAGAGTTCCAAAGGGGGTTTGGGGGGAGGGGGTTTTCCAGGAGGGGTCCCCCAGGGGCTTCGCACCCCCTGTTTTGACAAGGTTCCGAGGCCCCTGGGGGGCTCTCTGGAAAACCACCTGGGGGGCTGCCCGCTATCGCAGAACAACAAGAAAACACGCGCTCGAGGAGGCCCGCCACTCCTCGGACGCCTGGTGCTTTGGGGGTCCTCGCTCGGCGCTCCGGCGTCCGCTCGGGGCGACCCGCGGGCAGCCCCCGCACAACGCCCTGGGTTCGACGACAACTCGAATACTACCACAATCGCGAGCCGCCCTCCGTCGATCGAGTCCCTCGGTCGTCTGTCATGAGCGCAACCAGGCGCCCTGGGAGAGCCCTCGGAGGGCCCTCGGAGGGCCACGTCTCGCCGGTGGGGGTCTGTTCACGGGTCTGGATCGAAAACGGCTCGCTCCGAATTGTCAGCCCTCGGGCCCCCCCTGGCCCTCCAGACGGCCCGGGGGCCAACCCGAACCGTCGCCCGTCTGTGGGCCGCGCTTCCTCTCCCCATACTCTAGGGTCACCCATGCTGGCGAAGCTACGTTTTGATCGTCCCGCCCAAAATCTTTCAAACATCGCTTAATTACTCACCTTAGCACCGCCGTGGCCACGTGGAAGGGAAAGGGGAGGAGAAGGAGGAGCTGGAGGAGAAGGAGGAAGAGGAGGAGGAGGAGGAGGAGAAGAGCAGGAGGAGGAAGGGGAGGAGGAGGAGGAGGAGGGAGGAGGAGGAGGAGGAGGAGGAGGAGGAGGAGGAGAGCAGGAGAGGGAGGAGGAGGACGAGGAGAAAGAGGAGGAGGAGGAGGAGGCAACGGAGGAGGAGGAAAATGAGCATGGCTGCCCCACGCCATGGCGGCGGGCGCCGCGCCTGGCCCGTCGCCCCCCCCCGGTGGGGCCCCCCGCCCAGAAGTCGACGGCTGAGCGGGGGGAGGGCCGCGCCCCCGGGAGGCAACGGGGTCCTCCTCCCAACTCTCCTCCCTCCATGACCCCCCCAGTGTCATCTTCCTCCTCCTCCTCCTCCTCCTCCTCCTCCTCCTCCTCCTCCTCCTCCTCCTCCTCATCATCATCATCATCATCATCATCATCGACCATCCGTCGCCTTGCATAATGTGGCCGCAGATGTTTCAAGTTTTGCAGCTCCGCCACCACAGTCCGTCGGTCCGTTTGGACAGGCTCGTCCTGCCTCCAGCCATCCTTCATGAGTGGAGATGCGTTTTGGGGGGCGCCGGGGCGAGGCTGCAATTAGCGGGGGAATGGGCGCACGAAGCCCTCAAGATGAGGTTGCATTGCATTATTGGGTTATGTTTGTGTTCGGGTTGCATGTATGATGCCAGTCAGATGATCAGAGGTCTTGGGCTGATCTGCCCCAAGACTACGAATTCCAATCGGGCGGAGTAATTGTGCAGAATCTCTGAAGGCTCTCCAGATTTCGAACTTTGGGCCGTTGCCCTTCACTCAAAGGGCAACGGCCCAAGGTTCGGAGTCTGGCCGAACTCGCTCGTCGGGGTTCCTAGTTCTTTCGGATTCGCTTCGCGGCTGGCTTGACTCACTCATGTACCCAATGACTTACTCATTCATTCGCTGATTGACTCACTCCGTTTCCTCCTCTTCCTCTTCCTGCTCCTCCATTTCTTTTCCTGGTGAATAACTTCTCCCTGTCGCACCCCGAGGCCAGTCGGGCTGGACGTTTCGCCTGAGACTGTCTAACCGTTTATGGGCCTGAAACCTGGCAGCTGGGAAGAGCTGCGTAGATGGACGGCGGATGGTTTTCACATGCAGGTCCCCCCCTGGGCGCCGCGCACATCCGTTTCAAACATTTGCGAGAGTTTCACGGATTGAGGGCGGATCGTTTCCAATATGGGCTCTCGCCTTAGCGCCGCGCGCTTTGGTTTTGAAAGGACGCAAGACCTTCACGGATTGAGGGCGGGGGATTTTCAAAATGGCGCGTTCGATTTAGCACCGCGCGCAGTTTTGTCCCTACCTAGGCTCTGCCTAGAAGGGTTCTTACTCTGTTGGCTTAAAGGGGCCGGGCAGTGGAAAGCGCCCCGGGCGGTTCCCCCAGTCCCCTGGGAGCCAAGCAAAAGCAACAGCAAAGGTAAAAGCAAACGCGCGGTTCCCCCAGGTGCGCTCCCTGGGTGCCAAGCAAAAGCAAAAGCAAAGGCAAAAGTGAAGGCACAAGCGAAGGCAAAGCAAAAGCATAGCATAGCATAGCATAGCATAGCGCAGCATAGCATAGCGTAGCATAGCATAGCATAGCCTAGCCTAGCCCAGCATAGCATTGCGCAGCATAGCATAGCAGAGCAGAGCAGAGCATAGCATAGCATAGCATAGCATCCCCGATTGCTGCTATATCTATAAGTGTACTTATATATGTGTGAGCGCACGTATGTTCCATGCATGTTGTCCGTCTGTGGGCCATCTTGAGCCCTTAGTGGGCCAGCTTGAGCCCGTAGGATTCACGAAGGTTTCGCACATAGCAGCGGCTGGGAGACATGAAACCCGACGTATTATCGCATGTCCTAAATGTCTTTCTATATATGCAAATATATGTGTATATATACATAGCATGCATGTGCGGTGTAGGCCGGATCCGGAGCATTCTCAAGCACACCCGGTGAGCGAATGCAAAAACATGCATGTGTGTGTGTCTGTGCGCAGGCAAAGCAAAAGCAACACCAAGCAAAAGCAAAAACAACAGCAAAGCAAAAGCAACAGCAAAAGCAAAAGCAAAAGCAAAGGCAAAGGCAACAGCAAAGGCAAGAGCAAAAGCAAGAGCAAAAGCCTTGGCAATGCAAAGCAAAAGCAAAACCAATGCGAAAGTGTAGATGTAGATGTAGATGTAGGTGTAGGTGTAGGTGTAGATGTGGATGTAGGTGTAGATGTAGATGTAGATGTAGATGTAGATGTAGATGTAGGTGTAGATGAAGGTGTAGATGTAGATGTAGATGTGAGTCTCGCTGTTGATGTAGATGTAGATGTAGATGCAGGTGTTGATGTAGATGTAGCTGTAAGTGTAGATGTAGATGTAGGTCTAGATGTATATGTAGGTGTCGATGTAGATGTAGGTGTATATATATATAGATGTAGATGTGAAGAACTCCCCAGTGCCCCGCCCTCATCTCCGTGCCTGCTTGCTTTTGCTGCTGTCTCGGCGACCTGCTGCCTGCTTCTGCTGCTGCTTCACTTACGGCGTGGCGTCGGCATTTCTGGCGCTATTACTACTACTACTACTACTACTACTACTACTACTACTACTACTACTACTACTACTACTACTGCTACTATTACTACTACTACTCTACTACTACTACTACTACTATACTACTACTACTACTACTACTACTATTACTATTACTATACTACTACTACTACTACTACTACTACTACTACTACTACTACTACTACTACTACTACTACTACTACTACTACTACTACTAATACTACTACTACTACTACTACTACTACTACTACTACTACTACTACTACTACTACGATGACGACGACGACGACGACGACGACGACGACGACGAATACTACTACTACTACTACTACTACTACTACCGCTACTGCTACAACTACGACGATGAGGGGAAGGAGGAGGACGGCGTTTACCGCTCCTACGAATGTTGCTTTCCTAGAGGCTCCAACTCCTAGGTAGGGTCGCACTGGGATAATTTTATGCAGCAGCTTCAAGGATTGAGGGTGCGTGGTTTTCAACTGGTGTTCTCGCCCCAGCGCCGCGCACACCCTTTGCAACACACTGTAAGAGCTTCACGGATTGAGGGCGGCTCCGTTTCAAAACGTGGTTCTTAGCGCCGCGCACACTCGCTGTAAACATTTGCGAGGTTCACTGGTTCCCATCGCTAGCGTGCGAGAAATGTTTTGGAACGGTTCAGAGCTGTCAAGGTGCATCGGTTGCTTTGATTCGCGATGGTGAAGTCCCAGGGGTGGCGTTCTGCCTCGACTCAGGATCGTCAAGACGTCACAGTCACATTGGCTCGTGGCGCTGAAGTATCGAGAAGGGTGTTTGGGCACGCATCAGGAATCACACGGTTGTCCCCCTCTGGGGCAGTTCTTTCAGTGGAAAAGAGCCAGTGTATGGGGCCCGTGAAGAGGGAGCTTGGAGGGAGTGTGTATTCCAACACCGCTGGTGAGTCTTAGGTTTACACTGGTCCTCCTCCTCCTGCTCCTCCTTCTTTTTCTCTTCTTCCTCCTCCTCCTCCTCCTCCTCCTCCTCCTCTCCTCCTCCTCCTCCTCCTCCTCCTCCTCCTCCTCCTCCTCCTCCTCCTCCTCCTCCTCCTCCTCCTCCTCCTCCTCCTCCTCCTCCTCCTCACTCCTCCTCCCCCTCCCCCCCCCGCCCCGGGCGCCCGGTGAGAGCCCCCGCCCTCGCCGCAGGTGCTGACGCTGGGCTCCGGGGGCCTCTTCGGGGAGCTGGCCCTGATGCACCCCGCGGGGGGGACAGCGTCCCGCGGGCAGGCCGAGCGCCCTGGAGGCTCGGGGTTCCAGGATCGAGGACCGAGGGGTCTAGAGGATCGAGGGGTTCAAGGATCGATCGAGGATCGGCGTTCGGAGGTGTCGAGGGTCGAGGCTCGGGAGGACCTGAGGGGTCGAGGATCAAGGATGGGAAGCGTAATATTTCGGTTGTGCGCGCGGACCTTCGACGAACGTTTCTTCCCCAATCAGAGCTTGCCTCTGTAGGGGTCCTAGCGGATTCTTATGGTCAGGTTAGGTTTGCCGCCGATTTTCGCCGCACGCCCGGGTGCCCGGGTGCCCGGGGGTGCCCGGGTGCCCGGGTGCTTGGGTGCCTGGGTGCCCGGTTGCCCGGTTGCTCGGGTGCCCGTGTGCCCGGGTGCCTGGGTGCCCGTGTGCCCGGGTGCCCAGGTGCCGGGTAGCTCTTTATAGCCCTATAGCCCTGTAGCCCTATAGCTCTAATAGCCCTATAGCCCTATAGCCCTATAGCCCTACAGCCCCATAACCCTATAGCCCAATAGCCCTATAGCCCTATGGCCCTGTAGCCCTATAGCCCCATAGCCTTCTAGCCCTATAGCCTTATAGCCCCATAGCCCTAAAGCCCTAAAAAGATTGTGATTGGGGCTTTTCTCCGGTATCATGGTGATTTGTCTGTTCTTCTTCAAAAGGAGGATGGGGATCGAGGTATGAGAATCGAAGGGTTTGTCGTTCCTTCGGGGCGTCCGGGGGGCGTGCTCGCTGCCGACGGCGGACTCCGCCGCGAATGCTTCGCCAGGGCGCACCCCTAGAGAAGATCAAGAATCGATTGTTGACGGGGGAGGGGAAGGGAGAGGAGGGGGAGGAGGAGGGCGGCTAGGCGACCCGGCTAAATTGTTATTGCGCGCCTCCGTCGTCGCGGTATCTTTCACCGTCATGGCTGGTAATGGTAGGAGGTCAGAGGATGTCGAGGGCGAAAACCCAGCCTTTCGCCCAGCAGGAGGAGCAGCGTGTGCCTGGACCATGGACGTGGTGGACGAGAAGACTGAGTCGGTTGATGTTGGCGGTCGTCGTCATCTGTTAATTTTGTTGCGCATGAGCGTCCACTCTTTTTTCACCGTACCGATAACCGCGATCCCCGGCTTCCTGGTCGCTCGCGCTTTCGACATCGCCAAACATATAGCATACTTAATCATTGCGTGAAGGAATCCACCCTGGGTCGGCGTCATCCTAACTGGCAGGCCGGAGAGCAAACAACGTGATTTGCGAACAGTCGCAACAGGAATCACATGAGAAGGGCCTTTCGTACGATTTATGCAGTGTTCCAGTTGGTGTCCACGTGATTTGCTTGGGGATTGTGTAAGTATCAGATTGGTTTCTCCACGTTGCGTTGAATGTCGTTGCGTTTCCGTGCGGGTGTCTGTCATCTTTTGAATTGTCCATCCCGACCTCTATAAGTTCTTAGAACTCACCAGTTACATGCGTGGTTTACGTTGCCTGGGACTACATTGCCCCCCGCCCCGGCGCGAGCGCCAGAATGAGTTGGCAGTGATAGGAAGTACCATGCGGTAGCTGGAAACTGCCGCCCGAATTGATTGTGTTGAGTTCGGTGCTAGGCCGATATCACCGCGGGGCAATGTTCGTGGTCCTCTATAGGGTTATAGTGGCGATTTGAGGCGCACATCGTGGCTTGAAGATGGGTCCATTGCTGTCTTGGCATCGGCTTGTTCGTCGAGGCATCTGCTGCATGCCGTGCATCTGACTAGTCTTGTCGCGGACCATTGGGCAGGGCAGGTACGCTGCACCCCGAGCAGCCACAGTCACAGCAGCTTCGGATACGGCGACTTGCTTATCTGCCATCATGTGCGAATGGGAAGAAGAGCTACGAGCCATCAAGAGAGGGAGGCAAGCTTGTATGGGGTCGAGAGGCGGCGATGGTGACGGAGAGGATCAGCCTGTCTTGCTACGCAGGTGAGATGTTTTGTGCTAGACGCGCTGGACTTCAAGATGCTTCTGGCGCAGTCCGTGCTGCCGGGGGATCTATCTGCCACTGTGAGTTTGACACTGTTGCTGTTTCGCGTCCTGGGGCACTACATGTGTGTGTGTGTGTGTTGTGTGTTGTGTGTTGTGTGTTGTGTGATGTGTTGTGTGTTGTGTGGTGTGTGGTGTGTGTTGTGTGTTGTGTGTTGTGTGTTGTGTGATGTGTGTGCGTTGAGTGTGTGGAAGTCTGCGTGTGTGTGTGTGCGTGCATGTGTGCGTACCTACTTGCACGTGGGTGCGTGGGTAATTGTGTGCACATATGTTTCTCTGAGTGCCTGTCTAGTTGACGGGTGTCGTTTCTCCGCAGCGTGCGCCAATGGTGCGCGCATTGTTCTTCGGAAGACGTCGATACGTATGCTTGTCTCTATGAATGCTTGCTTGTCTGTTCGCCTGTATACGTGCGAGCGCTCAAACGAGATTGTCAACAGACGCCGTGCCAGGTCGAGCCAGGCGCAGTACGCCAAGTACGAGGGCTGGCTCCATGAGGTAGAACTCCTGAAGGCTGTGATGCCGTGGGTTTGCCATTTGTGCTGGCATGTCTGCTGCAATCTGCATGCGCTCGCGCTGTTGTTTCATTCCACGTGCGTTCAATGAGGAATTATGTTCGTAGGCGGCATTGTCACAGGAAGATGGTTTAAGGGAAACGTTGCGCGATGTCAATCGACATTGAGGGCTGGGTGCTTGGGGAGCTCATGTCGAATGGCAGCGTGTAAGGCATTGTCGATCATCAGCGGTGCCAGTAAATTCAGATACATATTCAGATGCAGACATCGCACTGGCATTAGAAATAGCGCGCCAATGCGATTCATGTTCGGATTTCGTCCAACGAGCGTTATGCGGAACAATTGCAGCTTCGTTTTCAAAATATTTTCGTTGAATCTCGGATCCGACAGGATCTGACCGATGTTGCCCACAGAACCCACCCATACGATCCCTCATCTGCTGGCGTCTGTACGGTAGGCTCGTGTCGTGTCGACCGGCGGAGACTCCGCCGCTGGCGTTCAACGTTTCACGCCGCCGGCGACCCAGAATCGGTGGATGTTGAACGATCTGACGTTTCGGACACGACCGATCGTTCAAGGTAGAACGATCCCCGCGGTGTCAGAAACCCCGAAGTCGGTGCGACACGAACTTGCCGTATGATCCCCCACAAGGGCGAAGCCATTCGTGTGTTAGCCTACGTGGTCTCGCATCCGCATCCGCCAGAGGTCTCGCCGCTGCTGGCTGCAGGGCCCTGCCAACAGGGCCCCGCCCATGGAACCCGCATTTGGCGAGGATCCAGCCTTTGCTGCCCACAGGGTTGCACCAACTGGATCCAGAGTAGATGGCCTCGTCTAGCCTCATGTGCCTTGTCAGCCTTCTTCAGATGTTTGTGGTTCACGGGCCACCGTTATAGTTGTGTCAGGTCGAGGATTGCTTCTCAGCGCAAAGGCATCCGAGACGTACACAATCTCACGCGAGCCCATCAGCCCATCTGCCATGGCGACTCGTCTGTCTCAGTGTTTGGGCTATGCATTGCGGGCTGACATTGTGGAACAGTGAACGGAGTGTGCATGCGTCTCTGTGTAGCACTCTGGCATCATACATCTTCGTTCCGTGCTGCATGGCTTCGCCATCGTTGTGAGCCGTTCGTTTCTATGTTTCGCGCTGCGCGTCAGTCTTTGAACCACTTCGAGCTGTCGAAGCTTGCGGACTCGACGCCCCCCTCTCTTTGCTTGACGTCGGAATCACTTCAGTGTGAAGACCCAATGCATTCGCTTATCCATTCCGACCCCCTGAACATATTCAATGATAATTTGTTTTCTAGGTCAGTCCCAGAGTACATCTCCAAAGTTCACGGTGCAGTACTGACACATGAGGATAGAAATCGCGGTGTTTGTTGTGCAGCATCAGGCCAAAATATAGGGATGGATGAGACGGCGTGTCACCACGGTGGCACAGGGAGACGGAGAGGACTCGGGTTGATCAAAAGGATGCCCCACCCCACGTTTGATCCCAGGCAGTCTGCATACATAATGTGAACAGCACCTCCACCGTGACCACATCCAGCATGTGCAACCCCACGACCATGGCCAGCACCACCAGGGCGACCACATCCAGCACTTGCCAGCTCCCTCATCGACCAGCTCACAGGCTCCTGCACCGACCAGATCGCGGCCTGCCACTCTCCCTCATCGGCCAGCTCACCGACTCCCGCACCCACCAGATCGCGGCCTGTCGCACCGACCAGCTTGCCAGCTCCCTCGTCGACCAGCTCACCGACTCCGGTGCCGACCAGTTCTCCGCCTCCCGCGCCGACCGGGGCGCCGACTCCCGCTCCGAACAGCTCACCGACTCCCGCGCCGACCAGCTCACCGCCTCCCGCATCGACCAGCTCGCCGTCTCACACCGACCCACGGCTGTGAGTGGCCATTACGGCGGCGGAGGCGCTCCTGCGGCCCTCACGCCCGCTGGCCTCCACCTGCCCATGCCACGTTTCCCAAGGCCGACCGCGACTGCGACCGCGCTCAGATCCAGGAATGCGGCCTCGAGCACGACCCCGAGTACGACCACGGCCGCGACCACGTGCACGATCGCCGTAATGGCCACGATCACGACGACGAGTACGGTCCAGAAAGGTGCAACGAAAATGTCACGAATTTTGGCCCGTCCAGACCGTTATTCTATAAAGTTGATGCAACACAGTCGTAGCAAATACCAACACAGAGCGGAAGCGGACAAACCCTGGCCCCCTTCACACAATAATCAGCATCATCAACGCCAGCACCGACACCAGCATCGATACCAGCATCTGCATACGCCAGCGCCTGCACAAGCGCCGACGCCAGCACTGGCGCCAGCACGAACGCCGGCGCCTGCGCCGGCACCAGCGCCAGTGCCTACACCAGCACCGACGACAGACCGCAGCGCACAGGTTGGCTGCCCAGTTAAACTGTGCGCACAGGCGCTGGCACCAACGACTGCGCCTACGATGACACCAACGCCAGCGCTCACACCAGCGCGTGTCAGCCAGCACATACGCCAGCACCAACGCCGACGCCTGCATCAGCACCGCCGCCAGGCTGCAGCACAGTAGCTGTCCAGCTAACCGTTGCGCACACGATCTGGCGCGCCATATTGTTCTAGTTTGTTGCGCCGTGTTGGGGCCAGATGAAAGCCCACGGAGAAAATAGATCGCACAGCGCGGGTCGGGCCGACAGTGGGCCGCAGTTCGGTGGCCGGTGCTCGAGGGATAATCCTGCCCCCCCCCCAAACAAGGCACACCGAAATGTCACTGAGACGGCACGTGTGCGCACCAGCGCTAGCACCAACGCCAGCGCCTTCGCTGGCTTCGACGCCAGCTCCGACACCAGCACAATCGCTGGCGCCTCCGCCAGCGCGGACGCCAGCACCGACGCCAGCATGAACGCCTGCGATTGCGCTGGCACCGACGCCAGCGCCTACCAGCGCCGACGCCATCACTGACGCCAGCACGAACGCTGGCGCCTGCCCCGACACCAACGTCAGCACTTACACCAGCACCGATGTCATCACCGGCGCCAGCACCAACGCCGATGCCTACACCGGCACCGACGCCAGCACCGACGCCAGCATGAACGCCTGCGATGGCGCCAGCACCAGCTCCAGCGTCTACGCCATCGCCGACGCCGGCACTGACGTCAGCTCGAACGCCGGCGCCTGCGCCGGCACCGACGCCAGCGCCTACACCAGCGCCGACGCCATCATTGACGCCAGCACGAACGCTGGCGCCTGCGCCGATACCAACGCCAGCACCTACACCAGCACCTATGTTATCACCGACGCCAGCACCAACGCCGATGCCTACACCGGCACCGACGCCAGCACCGACGCCAGCATGAACGCCTGCGATGGCGCCTGCACCAGCTCCAGCGTCTACGCCATCGCCGACGCCGGCACTGACGTCAGCTCGAACGCCGGCGCCTGCGCCGGCACCGACGCCAGCGCCTACACCAGCGCCGACGCCATCATTGACGCCAGCACGAACGCTGGCGCCTGCGCCGATACCAACGCCAGCACCTACACCAGCACCTATGTTATCACCGACGCCAGCACCAACGCCGATGCCTACACCAGCAACGACGCCAGCACCGACGCCAGCATGAACGCCTGCGATGGCGCCAGCACCAGCTCCAGCGTCTACGCCATCGCCGACGCCGGCACTGACGTCAGCTCGAACGCCGGCGCGTGCGCTGGCACCGACGCCAGCGGCTTTGCAGCTCCGACGTCATCACCGACGCCAGCACCAACGCCGACGCCTCCAGCAGCACCAACGCCAGCACCGACCCCAGTATGAACGCAGGTGGTAGCGCCGGCACCAATGCCAGCGCCGACGCCAGCACCGACGCCAGCACGTACGCAGGCGCCTGTGCCGGCACCTTCGCCAGCGCCTACACCAGCACCGATGCACTACGGGCTACTCCTACTTGCCGAACGACTTTGGGCGGCTCGACGGGTGCCAGCTGCACGACCTGGAGCAGTACGGATTCGGGCTGTAGTTCTGAGGCGGGCCTCACACTGTTGGTCCAGGCAGGCAGGACGAAGGGTTCAAGGCTACCTGGCGGCTGGCGGCTGGCACGCTCGGCGCGAGCATTCTGTTGCCCCCTATCCCCCTCTTCGTTCTTTCCTCTTTCGTTGCTCTCTCCTCCCCTCCCCTGCTCTCTTCTTCCAATTGGTGCCGTGGCACTGCTTGCACATTGGCCGAGGCCGCTTCCGCGCCCGGCACTGCCCGACCTTGCGGGCCGCCCTGATTCTGGGGCCCGCCTCAGGCTTGCACAGTGTTCTCGGAAGGGGCTTGGCTTCTCCTTGGCCGCCCCAGAACATCTTGAAGCTGTCGTGTACTTCGCACCCAGATTTCTAGCACTGCTGTATGCCATCCGTGCTCGCGGGCCTGCCGGGCGCGTCATTCCAGTTTTTGTGGGTGTTTGTTTTTGAGTTTCTCTCTGTTGTTCTCTCTGGTTATGGCCCCTTCCTTCTTGTTTCTTCGCCCTTCCCTTCTTGCTTCTTCCTCCCGTGCCATCGCAATCCGGGCACATTTGCTATCAGACGCATGGCCGCTTAGGTTGCAATGTGCTTTTGGTACTGCGCAATGCCCTTACGCTAGTCCGTACGCGCGTCATTGTGCGATGCTTTATGTTTTTTATGGTCGTTCGGGCCGTGTGGGGACGCACACACACATCGCCTGTTTCGGTCTCCCTCGCCTCGCTTCTGCCCTCGCCCCCTCCCCTTTTCCTACTTTTACTCGCTTCCTCCTCCTCCTCGTGTCGTTTCTGTAGCTGGCCAGGTGCTCCTCCGATGCATGCTGCGGGGCAGCATTGCTATGGTGGCTTGCAGTCTGAGAGATCGTTGAGTCATCGTTGACTGGAGGACAAAAAATAATGAGTAGCATGCCGTCGCCAAATCCGCCATCTCCTGTGCAGAAGTAATTACGTGCCCCTCGGGCGCGACGAACGACGGCAGCATCTTGAACAGGAGGTTGGCGGAGGTCCCACTGACTCCTGCACGCCGTGGCGATACGGTCAAGGGTTTATCCTTTGACTCAATCACACAGGTCGTCAGGATAGCCCCTCCTCGTCCACCCTCGATCCCCAGGTGAAGCTGCGACGTGCCACGTCGCGGCTTTCTTGCGGGACAGTCCATAATCAAAGCAATGCGCCACGGGAAGCACCACGCAGCATGCCACCGCCAGCTCCGCCATCCCAGGGGCAGGCGGGCCGCTAACTCTGCCTCGACGAGCACCGGACGCATGCTGAACCTGAGGCGTTCGCCGATGCCGCTGCCTCTGCCGCATCGTGTGGAGATTGAGAGGACGGGCCAGACACGGAGCGCCAGCGTGAGTTTCCTCCGGAGTCACCGCAGAGGGCGGGAGAGCGAGGTGCCGATCCGCCACACGGGGACATTCGACATCGGCACACGGCGTCCTCGAGTGCGCGGTTGATCGTACGACATGCGATGTTTACCCTCCGCTCTGTGCGTGAATGAAGGATCCTGCGCACTGTGGGCATGCTCTTGGAAGTTGGGATGAACGCTGCAAGGTGATGGCACGCTGCCCACATCCTGCCTCCTTGAGCATTCTTGACTGCGCGGTCATGTGAGCCGCTTGGAACGTCCAGGCGCTCGCGGCCGCGGTTCGCGTTGTCCTGATCGGCGCCGCACCCCCCAGTTTTTCGCCATTGCGTCTACTGCGCGCCGACAGTGGGATACTGAGCCTCAGAGCTATCGCCGGACAGCGGGCTCGTCCCCGTTTGGGGAGTGCGAAGTTTTCCGTCACACGCCCTGGTGCAGGTGAAGTTTCTTGCCACGATGGTGGACGATCGGGACCGCGATCGATGCAAGGTTGAACGCTCGGCACGCGACCCAAAGAAGACTTCCCATTCTTGTCGCGTCACCTTCGGCAGCGCCGTACAGCTGGCGCGGACTTCAGGGGCGGAGTACGTCTCAGGCAGGCCCAGATGGACGGTTTCCCCCGGGGTCGTAGGCGACCCGAGGAGGGGAGGGCGAGGAGGAGGAGGAGGAGGGGGAGAAGGACAAGGAGGAGGGGGAGGGAGGAGGAGGAGGAGAGGAGGAGGAGGAGGAGGAGGAGGAGAGAGGACGAGGAGGAGGAGGAGGAGGAGAGGAGGAGGAGGAGGAGGAGGGAGGAGGAGGAGGAGGAGGAGAGGAGGAGGAGGAGGAGGAGGAGGAGGAGGAGGAGGAGGAGGAGGAGGAGGAGGAGGAGGAGGAGGAGGAGGAGGAGGAGGAGGAGGAGGAGGAGGAGGAGAGGAGGAGGAGGAGGAGGAGGAGGGAGGAGGAGGAGGAGGAGGAGAGGAGGAGGAGGAGGAGGAGGAGAGGAGGAGAGGAGGAGGAGGAGGAGGAGAGGAGGAGGAGGAGGAGGAGGAGGAGGAGGAGGAGGGAGGAGGAGGAGGAGGAGGAGGAGGAGGAGTGGAGGAGGAGGAGGAGGAGGGAGGAGGAGGAGAGGAGAGAGAGAGGAGAGAGGAGGAGGAGGAGGAGAGGAGGAGGAGAGAGAGAGGAGAGAGGAGGAGGAAGAGGAGGAGGTGGAGGAGGAGGAGAAGGAGGAGGAGGAGGAGGAGGAGGACGGGTCGCCTAAACCCTTCGGACAAATGGCAAATCGGGCCCGCGCGTTCCGAAACGCTCTCGGAGCGTTCGGGAGCGCTCTGGAACGGCCGTGGCGCCCGAGATATGTCCTCGAAACCCGCCAGCTCGCATTCGAGCAGGAGATCGACTGCACAGTTGATCTATCCCAGGACTGGCTTCTTCTCGGAGCCTGCCAACAGTATGTATAATGTTCGTCGGTCTACGAGACACTAAAAACTTCGACGTGTTTTTTTCACAGATCCGACGAATCTTAGACGTCTGGGGTAAATCAATTCTATGGTCGATCCCCTACTCGACTCGCAAGTCGGCGGCGAGCTTAGGGGGAAGTGAGAAAAGGTGGGCCGTCCCAGAAGGCTCGGAGTCTCCCCCGAAGGCGCAGACAATTTCTCAGAAGTCCCGCCGTCTTCTGAAAAGGCCTTCTCCTTCTCACGTCACCCCCGGGCGCGCCACTGAATTTGGTTTTTGGGTTGTAACTCGGCCCTCTGGTGGTCGTTCAGGACGATCCGGGCACCCCCCGAACGTTCTCAGCGAGGCGCGCAGCCGCTGGAGCACATCCCGAGGGCGGACAGCCGCCAGGACACCACGAACACCTCGAACCCGAAGCAACGAAACCCGAACCCCCCTCGCTCGCCGCCGGACAGATTCCCGAGCTACCTCGCTCCAGCTTCATCTGCGTCCCGGCTCTTGGCCTCGCTCGGACGTGTGTGTGTGTGTGTTTTTCTTCGGCGAGGACCATCGCGGAGCATGTTTGCTCACCTCGCGCAACATACATACACGCAAGAAGCACACACCTTTTGTTTTCGGGCGTTTCGGAGGTTCCCTGGGCCTTCAGGAGGCTTCTCGCCGCCACGGCTGAGTTACAAGCGACGCTGAAATTTCGCTTGCTTCCCCTTGTCTCCCCCCCTCCCGCCGTCGTAGCGATTCGTCCTGGCTCTCGGAGCGAACCCGAAAAAATGCACATGGAATGGGCGCCCGAGCGATGGCAAGTTGTTCTAGTCCTCGTCCAACCGTCCTCAAAGCACCGTCCTGATCTAAGCTTAGCCTGTCTCGCTCGCAGGCGTGCGCTCTGCTCTGTGCAGGCTTGGCCGGTCGTCCCTCTGGTGATGCTTCGAGTCCGTGCAACGCGGTCGTGCTTGCAGGGCAGCGCGGAAGCCAGCGCTTCCGAGGAGGTTCGCGAAGCTCTGAGAGAGGAACAAAAACATTTGAGTCTTGCATACTTCGTGATTCCATTTGGAGTGCACTCGCGCCGACTAGCGTCTGGTAATCGTTGAGATAGCGCCGATTTAACGTCGATCAGCATCGACCAGCGTCGACTAGCGTCGATTAAACTCGGCTAGCGTCGATTAGCGCCGATTCGCAAGAGCCAACGCACGAGTTGCCACCCACCCGTTCTCATCTTCCTCCTTCGTGTTCGTCCATGGGCCCTCTCTTCTCCCTCCCCTCGTCCTCACTCCAACAAGGCATCTTGGGCTTTCGAGTGTGGGGGGGCGTCTCTGGTTCCTCTTGGTGGGCTCTTGGAGCTCACCTAGGGGCTTCACTGGAGACTCGTTGAGGGCCCGCTGGGGGTCCTGGGGCCGTCTTAGGGCCGCCCGAGGGCCAGCGCGGCCGCCTCGCGTCGAGGAGGGGCCGCCGAGCTTTTCGCACCCCCCCTTCGGTGCGGCGCTGGGGACGGGGCCCCCCGTGCAGGCCTCTTCGGCGGTAGCCGGGTGCCTAGGGGTTGGCACAGTCAGCCCGCATCATATTCCAAATCCCTTATTAATCGACCCCTCCCTAAAAAACTGGACCCCCCTCCAAATGCGACCTAATATTCCGGACGCCCCCTCTTCGACGGGGCGCCTTGATAAACCGGACCCCTAAGCTCCAATCCACAGAAGTCGCCCTAATAAACCGGACCCCCCCGGTTACAGAAAAGGCGCCTTGAAAAACCGGACCCGGGGGACGATGAATAAGGGATTTGGAGTAAGGACGGGCGCCCTTCCCTAGGGTACCCTTGCATCCTTGCCCTGTCGGCCCATCCTTGGCCACTTTCGCTGGCCGCGCCCCACTCGAGAAGCTTCGAGCTGGCCTTCCGAGGCCCGTGCCTCCTTCTCGCGCATCCTCAATCATGCGGGCCGACTGCAAGGCTGCAGGCTGCGAGCAGACCCCAGACGTGCTCGCGCCCCGAGAAAACTACGACTGGAGGTCTTTGTGCCTCGTTTTACGGTCCCTCGGGGGCCCCTTGGCAGGTCTCCTGGGGCCGTCAAGGAACCATGCCGGATGGAGCGCTGGTCCCCGGGGAACGGGTCGGGGCTTCCAGGGACCGTGGCGCATTTCGGGGGAGCGTAAGACCCGGGTTTGCCAGGACTCGGGTTCGCCATTGTTTTTTTGACGACCGCGCCTCGGATTTTGACGAGGAGGAGTTTCGTGGGATGTCTGCAGCGGGAGGCCTCGTCAAAATGCAGGCTCGGCCTCGTCATTTTTTGACGACCTCGTCGGGGATTTCCGAGTCCCCTGTACCCAGGTCTTACGTCCCCCTGAGCATTGAAACAATTAGGACGTCGCATGTCTGGGACAGCCTCCCCATGTAGTCCTGGCTGGCCTCAACAGACCCCCCCCGCCGAGCAGCAGCCCCCCCCCCCCGAGCAGGCCGGGTTGGCCTCAACTGCCCCCCCGAGTAGTCTGAAGTCGGACGTGTCCCTCTACAGGAGTAACATGCAAAAATAAACAAAAATAGTCTGGGGACGATTTGTTTTTGATTCGTTTAATTATTATTTTGACTATTTTCAGTTTTTGCTCCAAAATCTGTAGGAGGACATGCCCGACCTCAGGCCAGCCTGGAATTACCTGGGGGGGCTGTTTGTGCGCAACCCGAAGCCCTCCCATAGGAGGGCCCCAGAGTTCTCCTCAGGTGGGGCTGGGACCAGGATGAAACGTTCCAGAGCGCTCTGGAATGGCCGCGGCGTCCGACGCATCCTCCAGAACCGCCAGACGTCCGAGATCCCCCGTTTGTCCCGGTCCGATGTTGTTCCAGGTTTGCTTTCGTCTTACCTCCGGAGGGAGGCGCAAAGTTGGTCGGAGTTTGGGGGGCCTCCCCGTGGGAGCAGAGATCCGAGGAGCATGAACTCGTGATAATGGTACGTCCCAAGATTTCCAAGATCTGGAGGATTTCCAAGGCTTCCTGATGTTCCGCGCGGGCTGCAGAACCGACTGGGACCAGATACAACGGAAATCCTGGAAAGCATCTTCAGCCAGTCGCTTATTGACATCATTCCCGTCCTGAATGGATACGACAACAACAAAAACGTGCATCCCGCCCAGGAAGCCCTGCAGCCTGAGCAATACAAGCCGGGCGACGAGATAATCAAGCAGGCCCCCTGGAGTGGCAGGGCGAAGGGAGGGAGGGAGTGGGTAGGAGGAAGGGGAAGTGGGAAGGCCTCAGTCTCTCTTCGTCCTCCCTCATCTCCTCCCTCCCCCCCTCCTCCCTCCTCCTCCTCCTCCTCCTCCTCGTCCTCCTCCTCCTCCTCTTCCTCTTCCTTCTGATGTTCACGTGCACACAACCATCTACCGATTATAGCCAGGAGCTCATTCTATACATAGGCCACATGTAGACACACATGATTTACATGCTACCTCTCTCTCACCCACGTACTCATGTACATTATGAATATACATATGCATGTACACATGTAGCATCCGCTCACTCACTCTCCCACACACACGCACACACACACTCTCTCTGACTGAGGCGAGTGGTCGAGTTCTGCGCTTCGATCATGAACCCCTTGTAAAACGCAGCCGCCCAGCTCCCGCACAGAAGCCCACTGGAGACCGCCGAAAGACGATGGGTAGCAAGGGGTCCGTGGTCAAGTGCCTAGGAAGAGGGCGGAGGAGAAGAGGGCAACGAGGCAAAAACAAGTATGGCACGAAGGACAGCAGCAGCAGAGGGCGCCGCTTGCCCGGGCCGCCCCTGAAAGAGGAGAAGGGGCATGAGAGAAGAGGAGGAGGAGGAGGAGGAGGAGGAGGAGGAAGAGGAGGAGGAGGAGGAGGAGGAGGAGGACCAGTGCGAACTCAAGACGCATCGACGATATTGCACCACACCCTCCCCCCAAGTTCCCTCTTCACAGGCTCCAGAAAAAAAAGTTGTTTGCATTGCAGGAGGTGGTCTATGATAAGACAATCGACTGATAACTTCCAATCGTGCCAACACATTCCTGGGACTTCAGCGCCACGGATCGACGTGATTGTTGCGTCTTGTCAATCCGAAGTAATGCCAGGACGCCGTTCCTGGGACTCCCACACCGCGCCGTCAATTGTTGGAAACGTTTGAAACGATTGTGCGCGGCGCTAAGGCAAGCCATACTTTGGAAAGGAGCCGCCCTCCATCGTTGAAAATGGCGCAGTCGTTTGAAATGACCCTAGCGAAGGACCCAACCATATGCAGTTGTGAGTAACGCATTATCGGTGCCGCTTTCGGTGGAGCTCCCTATGGGGCCACGAAACGCCTGAGGGACGTGCCGTATTGGGTGAGGGAGACGCATGCGGGCAGTGCCACTGGGGTCTTCGGTGGGGCTCCCTATGGGCCACGAAACGCTGTCCTGGGCGTGGCTGACGCATGTGGCCACCCCACTGGGGCCTTAGGTGGAGCTCCCTATGGGGCCACGGAACGCTGTACTGGGTGTGGCGGACGTATGTGGCCACCCCCCACTTGGGCCGCAGATGGAGTTCCCTATGGGGCCAGGAAGCGCTGTACTGGGTGTGGCGGACGCATGTGGCCACCCCCAGCGGGGCCTTGAGAGGAGCTTCCTATGGGGCCACGATACGCCGTACTGGGTGTGGCGGACGCATGTGGCCACCCCCAGTGGGGCCTTGAGAGGAGCTTCCTATGGGGCCACGATACGCCGTACTGGGTGTGGCGGGCGCATGTGGCCACCCCCAGTGGGGCCTTGAGAGGAGCTTCCTATGGGGCCACGATACGCCGTACTGGGTGTGGCGGACGCATGTGGCCACCCCCATTGGGGCTTTAGTATGGGCTCCGTATGGGGCCACGATACGCCGTACTGGGTGTGGCGGACGCATGTGGCCACCCCCAGTGGGGCCTTAGGTGGAGCTCCCTATGGGGGCCACGAAGCGCCGTACTGGGTGTGGCGTACGCATGTGGCCATCCCCCTCTGGGGCCGCAGGTTGAGCTCCCTATGTGGCCAGGAAACGCTGTACTGGGTGTGGCGGACGCATGTGGCCACCCCCACCAGGGCCTTAGGTGGAGCTCCCTATGAGGGCCACGAAGCGTTGTATTAGGTGGGTGAAACGCAAGGAGGAAGGAGGAGGGGGAGGAGGAGGGAGGGAGGGGGAGGAGGAGAGGAGAGGAGGGACGCGGGGACCGTCTTCAAAACGAGGACCCAACACCAAAGGACGGTTGGGAAAAACGGGTGTGTGCTGCGCTCAGGCGAGAGCATCATTTTGAAAACGACCCGCCCTCCATCCGTGAAGATTCTGCAAACTTTACGACGAATGTGCGCGGCGCTGAGGCGAGAGCCACATTTTGAAATCAACCCGTTCTCCTCGTGCGAGTAACCCCACCAGCCCATCCAGAATTGATACTCAGGCGAGTTGCCCTAATCATGGATAGAGCATGCAGTGGCCTTGGAGCGTGTTGGGCGCCTCGGGGGAGTCTCTTCCTGGGGCCTCTTAAGGGGTCTCTTGGAGGCCTTTGGGGGGCCTCTTGGGGCCTCTTAGGCTCCTCTTGGGGCCCCATCGGGGACCCTTGGGGACCCTGGGGCCATCTTGGGGCAATCTTTTGAAGGTGCCCAGTCACAGACAGGGGGGTCCTCAGCTCGCCTCCCCCCCAGGATGCCAGTTTTTCAGTTGAACCAATGACTCTTGACTTCCAGCCGATGCCTTCTAGAATGCCACTGGGTCGCGGCCCTCCCGCCCAGGGTCCAGGGGAAGGGGTTGGGGGAGGGGCAAGCCCTTCCCTGAAGGGGAAGAGGGCAGATGGAACAGAAGACTCGCTCACCCCCTCACACCCAGAGGGCTGCTGGGATTGCAATCTCCCGGTTCATGAATGGCGGGGAGAATTGTCAGGCGAAACGCCCGGCCCGCCCTACCAGCACGTCTCGGGGCGCGACGGGGAGGAGATGCTCATGAGGAAGAGGGAGGAGGAGGAGGAGGAGGAGGAGGAGGAGGAGGAGGAGGAGGAGCAGAAGTCCGTAGCCATTCTGGCTCAAGCTGGAGCCGTGGAGCCCTGACGGCTTCAGCTTGGACACGGGCGAGGGGCTGGCTCGGGTCCTAGCAGCCTCCCCACTCTCGATCCCCACTGTCGCAGGCCTAGAGGTTGACACCAACACCAAGATCGGCGGTGTGCCTCCACCAAGGGAAGACGATCCCGATCTCGGTGATGGTGGTAATATTCTGGCTCCCAAGGTGGCCGAAATATTGCCACCAACACCGAAATTTAGGATCATCTTCCCCCTGTGGAGGCAACCCCCTGGGCTGGTGTTGGTGCCAATTTCCAGGCCTCCCACACTGGAGCTTCAGGTGCAGTGGATGCTGTTGTGGTTTCGTCGGCTGGAGTGTCTCGCCATGCCGCTCCAGCCGATGCCTTGTCCTCCCATGAGACCGCCTTCGCTGCCGCGCACGACGCAGCCGCGACGTTCCCTGATTCGCAGGAGGGGAATGCGGGCAATCGTGCGAGAATTGAACGACCCCGTGGCGGCTGTGGACGCTCTCCGTGAGCTTGTTGGTTCTATTCGTGCTGAGTTGTTGCCGAAGGTTGCCGTCACCGCCTTCGGCTCCACCATCACTTCCAGCTACGACGGCGTCACCAAGCAGATTGAGGTCCGTTTCGGGCAGTTGCTGGCTCATCCCAGATCAACAGATGAACGAGTTCGTGTACTTGAAATGAAGGTTTGTGAGTTGGCCTCCCTGCTTCACTGTACGTATCAAAGCAGAAGAGCCGCAGGCCGCGGTAGCGGACTCGTCCTTCAACCGGCACATTGACCTTCGTATTTCCATCGCCAGGCTTATGTTGTTCCCATCGTACTTGAGGACCATATCCCAAAAATGATTTCGAGCACCCGGAAAATGTCGAAACAGTGTGAAACAGTGTCGAAGCAGTGTCGAAACAGTGTCGATCGAGTGTCTCCCAGGGCCCGACACGTGAAAACCCTCGAGTTTCGGTATTCTCTTGGTGCTCGAAATTCTTCCTCGAGCTTCAGGCTAATGTAGGCTGGAACATCATCACGCGAGGTGTAAGCCAGTCGTCACCCCCGAAGAGCTGGACAAGGCTGTTGTCCCTTGGAACGCCAGGTTTCAGATTGACCAGTCCGACTACCGTCTCTCGTCCGACCCTGCAGGCAAGAAGTTCGTTTTCCGTCTCGTGGGGAAGGCCACCTACGCAAAGAGGAAGGTGGCCCAGGCCATTGGCTCGCTCAAAATGGCCGCACGAGAATGGGACAAGCTTATCGCCCCCGATCAGCACGGTCAAAGAATTGAGTTCACCAATACCGGCAAGTCCCCAACCATGGTCAAGCGTGAGTTGGAATTCCAATGTTTGCGCCGCGCTCTTGAAAGTGCGCGGCCATGACTTAGGGATGTCAGTGATAAGCAGAAGGGGGAGGAACTGCCAAGGGCAAGTCGCTCGCCCGAGTCATCCCTATGGCAGGGGACGAACAGTGCAAGCCCGAGTGGTGCCTTGAGACCCTGTCGGGCTTAACATCGGCAAACGTATCGTTGCTGAGCGCTTCCAGGCCGCTGGCGCTCCTGCCAGCCCTCCTACGTGGTCTGTCTAATACCATGCTCCGCGACTGGCACGGACCTAGTCAAGTACGATGGCTCTTATACTGGCCACGTGGAATGCCCGTTCTCTCTTCCGTCATAACCCTGCCGCCGAGAGCCCAATCTCGCTCTCCTACGTCGTCTTATCCGTTCCTCTGGCTCCACCCACTGTGGCAATCCAAGAAAGCCATATTTCCAGGCTACAGATCCAGGATTTCCTCCACCATTATAACTTTCAGTACCAGTTCTTCGCATCGTTCTATCGCTGAATGTCGGAATTTCTTGGGCGCTGCCAGCGAGAATTGTGATCAGAGCCAGCTTACCCCGCCGTTGCGTCTGCAGCTTCACTCTGAGATGATGCGATAGGCCGCCGATACCGCCAGAGACAGCATGATCATCCACTCTTCCTGAGGCCCCATTCACTATTTAGACTCAGAGTAATGAAGGCGATAGGGCGGGCAATCTGGAGTCCAGATATTGAATATGCTCAGAGAGTGTGGCGCTCTCACGATCTGGGCAACTTATTTTTACGGATCAACCCGCTGGCGGGGATTGCAGTTGATTGATCCGTCTAAAATCCACCTTGCCCCAAAGCGATGCACGAGATGATTGCGATCCAGAAACAAGCGAACCTGTGAAAGACGATTGCCGAAGCGAAAGAAGAATCCTCTCTCGAACCAAAAGCCCAACGGAAATTGAAAAGCGCTGGCGGCGACGCGAGGCGCGGGGGGGCCGCGAGGGCGCTGGGCTGCGGCGACTGGTCCTCTTCGGGGCGCCAGGCGGCTTGGGCCCGACGGCGGGGAGAGGCTGGCGGCGGCGCGGCGCTGCCGGGGGCGCGGGGCGCGGGGCGCGGGGACGGCGGGCTGTGCCTGGCGGCGGTGGGCACGCGGACGTGGGCGACGTCCTCGCCTGCGCTGCCGAGCTCCTCGGTGGCGCCAGGTGTGGGCCCCCGCCCGCAGGCGCGCCCCTTCCCCCCCACCCCAGGGGTGGCTGTCGCCTGTTGCGTGCCACGGCGGTCCCGGGGGGGGGCCGGCGCAGCGCGCTGGAGGCACGCGCCAGCACCCGTCGAGAGTGCGCTTGGAGCGCCTTCTGGCCCCAAGAGGGGAAGGAGGAGGAGGAAGACGACGACGGGGAGGTGGCGGTGGCGGTCACGGGCGGAGGAAGACGACGTGACGACGACGAGGAGGAAGACGACGAGGAGGAGGAGGAGATGGCGGTGGCGGTCGCGGGTCACGGTGGCGGTGGAGGCGAAAGTGGAGGTGGAGTCTGAAGATGGAAGTGGAGGTGGAGTTTGCAGAGTGGGCAAAGGAAGAAGGGGGGAAGGAGGAGGAGGAGGAGGAGGAGGAGGAGGAGGAGGAGGAGGAGAAAAAGGGGCCGGATGAGGACGAGAAGCAGTGCTGGGAGAGGGCCGCCTCGCCAGGGCGACCCTGGGGACCGGTTCTTCATCCTCGAGGACACGCCTTCTTCCTCCTCCTCCTCCTTCTCCTCCTCCTCCGCTTCAGGTTTCTTCGGGAGGAGGTTTGGGGGGAAGGATCGAAGGCCTCCGGGAGCGCCCACTTGGCCACGACTGGATCCGCCTCGGTGCGTTGGCCAAAACACATAATTGGCCATTTCCACGAGGCCGATTCTGATAGAGGCAAATGTTGGGGAGCTCTGCTTCCTGGCAGATCGAACAAAACAAAACGGCAGGCTTCTGCTAAGTCTACGCATTCAGCGGCCTGCCTCGGGCCCCGGGACCATCACATGCCATCCAGGCCGAGGAGCCAATCCCAGGCAAAGGAGGGGTTGCCCAGGGGGTCCACGGAGACAGGCAAAGCACAATGTCAGACGTTTGGGCGGCTTTCTTTGTTACCCCGCTTCCCCTCCTGGCGGATATGTCTTCGCGCCTCATGCTCGTTGTATTGTCTCTCCTCCCCGCAGGGGAGGCCAGAGGTGGTTCCGGCCCGAGGTGCCCCCAGCGTCTCGCACAAGCTCGGAGCCCCACGGGTCCTCTGAGCCTCGCGAGGTGTACTCCGGAGGCCATCTGAGCCCTTCAAGAAAGGCTTGGAGGCACCTCGGGACCTTGGGCAATTCCCGATCCGTGCCGATCTACGGGAAGGGCTAAGCGCTCACTGCATGAAGGGTGCAGACGTCCCCCTATGCAGGATTGCCTTGCCGACCCTGCGCGGCATCCTCATCCGGGTGCTTGCCGTAAGTTCCGCCGCCGTACCAGTCTGACACTTTTGCCAGACGCACCGTGATGAACCGACCAGGAGGCCACGCATACCGTGTGAGCGACGGAAGACAACGGGGTCCTCTTCACCAACATTGGCGCGTAAGTTGCCCGCGTAAGGTCGCGCGTAAGCGCCCTCATCTCCAATATGGAGTACCGCGCTGGCGGCCCGCGTAACCCGCCGCGTAAGGTCGCTATGTCATCTCGCGTAAGATAGTTTCTTTCCGTGGCACATGTGATTGTTCCCGCTCCCAGGATCGAGGGGACAGTCACATGTGGCATGCGCTTCCGCAGGCTCGAGAATGCCGCAGCACATGGTGGCTGCCTTCCTCAAGGCCTGGAGAAAAGGAACATGCCACAATTCCGCCCCATAGATCTCACAGTGCCCGAAGTTGAGCAGCTCTCTCTCTCTCTCTCTCTATCCCCATTTCGTGGAGAGGAGGCCTCTTGAGGTGATTAGGGCCTCGTTGGGGCGGTATTGGTGCCTCTTGCCGCCTCTTGGGATACAAACTTCTGGAAGACCAAAAACATCCAAACCAAAGTATAATCTGATGGGTTGGGCTTGTCAGGGGGCGCATGGAGTGCCCCCTTAGTTTGGGCGCGTGTGAGGCGTCTTCTGCGGCCTGTCGGTTTTCTTTGCCGCTGCTGGAGGTCCTGGAGCAGTCCTGGAGGGCGTCGGTGGGCCTCCCGGGGACCGTCTTGGGACCCCCATTGGGCCGTGCTGGAGCAGACCTGGTGCTGTCCAGGGCCGTCTGGGGGCGGTCGAGGGCCGCAGTGGGGACGGGCTGGGCGGGGAGAGGCGCGCGGGGGGGCGGATTGGCGTGGAGGCTCCTGCCCCCGAGCTCTGCGGCGGCACGGCGGAGCGAGCGCCTGCTGGGCTCGACGCGTCGGGACGGCGCCCGCACTCGCGAGGGCCAGACACACGCAGCAGCCGCTGCAAGCGCAGTGGCAGTCACTGGCGCTGCAGTTCGGGGGCTGTGAAAGTTGGAAGGCACCCTATGTTTCAGCGAAGTGCGGCACAGTAGGTGAGGGGTCCCAGAAAGGACCTCGCCTTCGAGGATCGAAGAAGTTGGTGTCGCTTCCTCGGCGAAAGGCGGCGGAGGTGAAGCAAGGCCGCCTCCGCGGGCGGAATCTCGGCGGAAGCCGGCGGAATTGAAGATCGGCGCCCCAAGAGATGGCAGGGTTTGTTGTTTCAGGCTTCTCGAGCCCGCCAGACACTCGAGACGCTGAAATAAGGGCCGCTTGGGGCTCAGGAGGAGCTCGGGCTTCCGGGCGGCCCCCTGGGTCCACGTCGGGGACCACGTTCGCGACCGAGGCTCGCCGTGGCCAGAAAAGCACTCGCGCTCCCTGCCGTGCATCCCTCGGGTCGGGCGAAAGGGGGGGATTGGGAAAGGGGGGGTTACGAAATTTGCTGCATGCAGCTGGTTTCGGCCTCACCGAGGGGCCCATTCCTCGATACATAGCCGCCTCCGGCGCCGGGAGGCGCCGGGAAAATCAGCTACGTGAGCTGATTCTCAATCCCCCCTTTGCTATCCCCCCCTTCGCCCGACCCGAATCCCCCACGGCAGCACGCCGAGTGTGTGCGTCGACGCGCCGCCTGACCCGACGCGCCGCCCCCACGGCTCGGGGAGGGCCCCTCGGCCACCCCGGGGCAGGCGCCGCCTCGCGCTCGGCGGCTCCGCCCGTGGGGCCTGCCGCGGCGCCAGCCCCGTCCACCTCATCCTCCTCCTCCTCCTCCTCCTCCTCCTCCTCCTCCTCCTCCTCCTCCTCATCCTCCTCCACCTCCTCCTCCCAGGTGCGGGGCCCGGGCTCTGCCGCGGGCTTGCCGCAGCCGCGGCGCCGTCCATGTTGGACGCGTCCAGAGCACGCGTTCGCAGGCCCAGGGATCGACACCAGCACCACCAGCGGCGGTGTGCAGCCCCCGAGGGAGGAAGATCCCGCTCTCGGCGATGGTGGCAAAATTCTGGCTTCCAAGGCGGCCGAACTACTGCCACCAACACCGGAATCGAGGAGCGTCTTCCCCCTGTGGAGGCAGCCCCCCGTGTTGGTGCTGGTGCCCATTTCTGGGCCCCCAGCACACGGCGCGGCGACACGGGAAGCCCGCGGTCCCTGCCGGAGAGCCTCCCCACCCCGACACTTCCGTCGGCCCATACCTAAGGAACCCTAAAGAAGGAACGACGCCCCTAGTTTCCATAAGTTGAACTTCGATTTCGTATCGAGAACCTCAGGAACATCTAAGGCAAGCTGCGAAACAATTAAGGAACACGGAGCCCCTCCCCAACGAAAAGGGTTCCTTCTTCAGGGCCCCGACTGTGTTGCATATTTTGCACCAGACCGCCTGGGACACGGTAGCTTGCACCAGACTGCCTTGGACACGATAGCTTGCACCAGGCCGCTGGAACAAAAAAACAAACAAAAAACACGCTGCACCGCCGCGCCGACCGCCGAGGAGGGGACTGCTGCCGCGTACATCACCGGCGCCGAGGGCGAGATGGAGGTGAAGGCAGCCTGCGGAGACCTATTTCAGGAAGGAGGAAAAACACACAGACACAATGAATCGTCGATTCCCAAGAAAATACGCGAAAACATGGGAAGTGGGGGGGGAAGAGGAAAACCCCCAAAATAGGCAAAAAACGTATTGGGAGTCCTGGGAGTTGTGTGTGTGTGTCCTTGGGCCCCTTCACCAGTGGCATTGGGTTCCCCGGCGCCACGATCGGACGACGAAGCTCGGCGGCGAAGCAGGGGAGAAGTGCGAAGCGGGAGGCCTTCTCTGAAGACGGCGGGGCGTCCCAGAAGCCTGAAGTCGGGCACGTCCCTCTACAGGAGGAATCTCCAAAAGTAGTAAAAAAATAGCCTGGGGATGATTTGTTGATTTATTTTTGACGCATTCTTTGACTATGTTTTATTCTTCGTCCAAAATCAGCCTGTAGGGGGGCAGGCCCGGCTTAACATAGGACATAGGCCCGTCGGCCTTCTGATAAGTTTTTTTGTATTTTCGGAGACGGCTCAGGAGACTGGTCGGTAGGCTCGAGGCCTTCCGAGCCTTCTGAGAAGGCCCGCCCCCTCTTGCTTTCCCCCTGGACGCGCCGCCGACATTGGGTTTCCCCACGCTCCGATGGGACGACGACGAAGACGACGATGAGGAGAAGATTGCGGGAGCGGCTCGCTGAGTCCGTCCCGATGGCGCCTACGGCCTTGGCTTGAGCGGGAAGCTGGGACCTCTGATATAGAACTGCACCTCATGAGGGCCACCGGGCAGGACAGGTTCTGGAAATTGTCCATGGACCGATCCCGAGGGGATTCAGGCCGAAAGGAGGGGCAGAACGAAGGTGGACAGCATACGCCACTGCACAAGTACTCTCGGCCTTGCGTGCGCTTTGTCACCGTTCTGGTTTTGTGTGCATTATACAGAGAGCTGCTGCTCCGAACGAGGCGGCTCTACGTATCTATGGTGGCATCCTCGCCGCCCCCGCGCCCATGCTCGCGAAAACCTGCATCGACCGCAGCTGCTGTTGTTGTCGTTCAGCGGCTCGAAACGTTTCATCGAAAGGAGAGGCTAGGCATCTCTCGGACGTGTGGATTTTCTCTCGGCGAGGACCCTCGAGAAGCCTCTTGGGTCATCTTGCGAGAAAATACGCACGAAGCCGAACAATGCACGTGGAATGGACGTTCAATCGATGGCGCGAATGGTTTTGAATTCAAAAAATTAGTTGTTGAATGCGGGAAATTGGTTTTGAACTCAAAAAGAGTTTTGAATTCCAAAAATGGGCTTTGTGAATTCAAAAAAGGGGAACGGACGTTCGAGCGATGGCGAGCAGGTGGCATACGCTGACGTGTGACGCGAATGCGGGAGGGTTCCGCCGAGCCCGCGGCGATCCCTGGCTCCCTTGCTTCGATCTCTTCCTTCTGGCGGCAGTTCGCATTTCCAGCTCAGGACTGTTCTGGTATACAGTCGAGCATCTGGTTAAGAGGCCGCCCCCAGAAAAGCCGGGCCAGCGTTTCTTAGCGAGTTTGCCGGACAGCTGGCCCGAATTCTTGAGCGTGCTTGTTCCTCCAGCGTGAACAAAACAGTTGGTCTAGGTTGCTGCAACGACATGTACGGAAAGCTGGTCCAGGTTTCTTAATTGACTATTAGATGGCCTTCGGCCCATCTCGCCATCGTGCCTGGGCTGCAGGTATGAAGCCTATTGGATGTTCGTTGGGATCTTGTGGGAGGCTTCTCGGGGGCCTCTTGGAGGCAGCGTGGACGCCTCTTGGGGGCCGTTTGGGGGCTCTTGTGGCCCCTTTTGGGCCTCTTTGGGGCCTCTTGGGGCCCTCCTGGACGCCTCCTGGGGCCTCCTGGGGGCCTCTTGGGGCGATAGACTCGGATTCTCGGTTCGTGTTCCCTCCGTTGGGCCCCTTGGGGGGCCGTCTTGGGGTCCTCTTGGGCCGTGTTGGGCGTCTCTTGGGCTGTCTTGGGGCCATCTTGGGCTGGCTTGGGGCAGTTTGGGAGGCCTCTTGGGCAGTTTTGAGGCGGTTTGGGGGGCCTTTGGGTCCGTCTGGAATCCGGGAGCCGAAAAGGCGAGAACGCCCAAATCCTTTAGAAACCTGAGGAGAATAAATGATTTTGGCCTTTGGGGGCCCTCTTGGGCGGCCTCTTGGGGGCATCTTTGGGCGTCTCGGATGCCTCTTGGGCCGTCTGGGGGCCATCTTGAGCGTCATGGGGCGATCGTTCGGTGACTCGTGGCCTCCTTGGGCTGCCTGGGGGGCTTCTTGGGGTCCTCTTGGCCCGTCTTGGGGCCCTTTTGAAAAAATCACGCGACAAGATGCGGCAAGCCCCAGGAGAACCGCGAGAAGCCCAAGAAGATTTGAGTATTTGGGGTCGGGGACCCTAAGAGATTCCTCAGGAGTGAGGACTGTGGCTCAGGGGATCGGGCAAAGGACCTGAGGAAACGCCCACTCCGTGCCCAGAGGCACGGTGGCGGATGACGGGAAGCGCCTCCGGCGTGCACCGTTGGTTCTGGGATTTCATTTGACGGGAAGCGTCTTCGAGGTACGAGAAGCAAGCGGGATCCTTGAGTTAACTATATGGGTTGGCTGCAATCCGGATTCCCCAAAATGGAGCTCGAGACATAAAATATCTTTTCTCTTAGGAACCGAGAGGAGCACGGCAGACCAAGACGAGGAGCACGGCAGACCAGGCTACCAAGAGCGCCCTCAAGACGACGGAAAGGATGACCAAGACGAGGAGCACGGCAGACCAAGACGAGGAGCACGGCAGACTATGCCCTAAGAGTGCCCTCAAGACGGCCGAACAACGGCAGACCCCATAGGAGCACGGCAGACCAACAGGAGCACGGCAGACCACACAAGAGCACGGCAGGCCACACAGGAGCACGGCAGACCACACAGGAGCACGGCAGACCACAAAGGAGCACGGCAGACCACACAAGAGCACGGCAGACCCCACAAGAGCACGGCAGACCCCACAGGAGCACGGCAGACCCCACAGGAGCACGGCAGAGCAGACCCAAAAGGAGCACGGCAGACCACACAGGAGCAAGGCAAACCACAGGAGCACGGCAGACCACACAGGAGCACGGCAGACCCCACAGTAGCAAGGCAGACCCCAAAGGAGCACGGCAGACCACCGGAGCACGGCAGACCACACAGGAGTACGGCAGACCCCACATGAGCACGGCAAATCCCAAATGAGCACGGCAGACCACAAGAGCACGGCAGACCACACAGGAGCACGGCAGACTCCACAGGAGCACGGCAGACCACAAAGGAGCACGGCAGACCACACAGGAGCCCGGCAGACGCCACAGGAGCACGGCAGACGCCACAGGAGCACGGCGGAACCCACAGGAGCACGGCAGACCGCGCGCGGGTACAACATAAACGCGCCTTTTTGTTGTACCCCGAACGCCGCTGGCGTTTCCCCAACAGGAGCACGGCAGATCTCACAGGCGCGCGGCAGACCCCAAATGAGCACGGCCGACCACAGGAGCACGGCAGACCCCAAATGAGTACGGCAGACCCCAAAAGAGCACCGTAGACGCCTCAGGAGCACGGCTGACCACACAGGAGCACGGCAGACCACACAGGAGCGCGGCAAACCACAAAGGAGCAAGGCAGACCCCAAATGAGCACGGCAGTCCACACGTTCGCACGGCAGACCGCACAGGAGCACGGCAGACCCCACATGAGCACGGCAGACCAAGAAGGAGCACGGCAGACCACACAGGAGCACGGCAGACCACACAGGAGCACGGCAGACCACACAGGACACGGCACGGGAGCACGGCAGACCACACAGGAGCACGGCAAACCACACAAGAGCACGGCAGACCATACAGGAGCACGCCAGACCACACAGGAGCACGGCAGACCACACGTTCGCACGGCAAACTCCACAGGAGCACGGCAGACCCCAAAGAAGCACGGCAGTGGTACGTGGCACTGCTGTGGTATGCCGTACTAAAAACGTGGAATATCTCATAAGCCCAGGGGACAAAAGGACGCTTCCCGTTCTTGTCCGGTCAGGTGACGGGAAGCGTCTTCGAGGTACGAGAAGCAAGCGGGACGTTCTGGCTGAATCCTTGAGTAAATATATCTTTTCTTTAACTATATGGGTTGCCGCGCCGCACGGGATTTTTCGTTGGCGGATTCCCCAAAATGGCCATTTCGCTCGAGACATCCTCCTAAAATCGAGGTGTTGGAGGCTATCGTTTAAGACGTCTTAGGAACCGAGAGGAGCACGGCAGACCAAGACGAGGAGCACGGCAGACCAGGCTTAGGAACCGAGAGGAGCACGGCAGACCAAGACGAGGAGCACGGCAGACCAGGCACCAAGAGCGCCCTCAAGACGACGGAAAGGATGACCAAGACGAGGAGCACGGCAGACCAAGACGAGGAGCACGGCAGACTATGCCCTAAGAGTGCCCTCAAGACGGCCGAACAACGGCAGACCCCATAGGAGCACGGCAGACCACAGAAGAGCACGGCAGACCAACAGGAGCACGGCAGACCACACAAGAGCACGGCAGCCACACAGGAGCACGGCAGACCACACAGGAGCACGGCAGACCACAAAGGAGCACGGCAGACCACACAAGAGCACGGCAGACCCCACAAGAGCACGGCAGACCCCACAGGAGCACGGCAGACCCCACAGGAGCACGGCAGAGCAGACCCAAAAGGAGCACGGCAGACCACACAGGAGCAAGGCAAACCACAGGAGCACGGCAGACCACACAGGAGCACGGCAGACCCCACAGTAGCAAGGCAGACCCCAAAGGAGCACGGCAGACCACCGGAGCACGGCAGACCACACAGGAGTACGGCAGACCCCACATGAGCACGGCAAATCCCAAATGAGCACGGCAGACCACAAGAGCACGGCAGACCACACAGGAGCACGGCAGACTCCACAGGAGCACGGCAGACCACAAAGGAGCACGGCAGACCACACAGGAGCCCGGCAGACGCCACAGGAGCACGGCAGACGCCACAGGAGCACGGCGGAACCCACAGGAGCACGGCAGACCGCGCGCGGGTACAACATAAACGCGCCTTTTTGTTGTACCCCGAACGCCGCTGGCGTTTCCCCAACAGGAGCACGGCAGATCTCACAGGCGCGCGGCAGACCCCAAATGAGCACGGCCGACCACAGGAGCACGGCAGACCCCAAATGAGTACGGCAGACCCCAAAAGAGCACCGTAGACGCCTCAGGAGCACGGCTGACCACACAGGAGCACGGCAGACCACACAGGAGCGCGGCAAACCACAAAGGAGCAAGGCAGACCCAAATGAGCACGGCAGTCCACACGTTCGCACGGCAGACCGCACAGGAGCACGGCAGACCCCACATGAGCACGGCAGACCAAGAAGGAGCACGGCAGACCACACAGGAGCACGGCAGACCACACAGGAGCACGGCAGACCACACAGGACACGGCAGACCCCACGGGAGCACGGCAGACCACACAGGAGCACGGCAAACCACACAAGAGCACGGCAGACCATACAGGAGCACGCCAGACCACACAGGAGCACGGCAGACCACACGTTCGCACGGCAAACTCCACAGGAGCACGGCAGACCCCAAAGAAGCACGGCAGTGGTACGTGGCACTGCTGTGGTATGCCGTACTAAAAACGTGGAATATCTCATAAGCCCAGGGGACAAAAGAACGCTTCCCGTTCTTGTCCGGTCAGGTTCCCCAAAATGGCCATTTCGCTCGAGACATCCTCGAAAAATCGAGGTGTTGGAGGCTATCGTTTAAGACGTCTTATGTTCAAAAATGGCCATTTCGCTCGAGACATCCTCAAAAAATCGGGATGTTGAAAAATATCAAAAATGACGGGAAGCGTCTTCGAGGTACGAGAAGCAAGCGGGACGTTCTGGCTGAATCCTTGAGTAAATATATATATATATATATATCTTTATATCTATGGGTTGCGGGGCTGCACGGGGGAATTCGTTGGCGGATGACGGGAAGCGTCTTCGAGGTACGAGAAGCAAGCGGGACGTTCTGGCTGAATCCTTGAGTATATATATATATATATATATCTTTATATCTATGGGTTGCGCGATTGCACGGGGTTTTTCGTTGGCGGATGACGGGAAGCGTCTTCGAGGTACGAGAAGCAAGCGGGACGTTCTGGCTGAATCCTTGAGTAAATAAATATATATCTTTA